GGTACAGTCTGACAAAATGTTATGTTTCCTATGGGTAACATGCCTTACAGGCTGCACTGGTAGTGGAAAAAGCATACAGGGTTTTCTTTCTGGATCTCATTTCCATAACAGTGTTTATGAGATTGCTAAATGATATTCACTGTGAAGGGGAGGCTGGGCTAACAGCTGGTATGAACTCCACCTCTGCGTTTGGTGCCATGGCATAGTCCCCAGTCAGCTGGTTTTATTATGAAAAATAAGCACAGAATAAATTTCCTCACTGCTACAGTAATACAGCCAAGTAATTGCACTGCTCAGCCTTACCTCAATGGGATCCAGTTCCTTGGAGTCGTCTCAGACTGCAACATTGCTGTGCAGCTTCCCCTGCAGAGACATATCCCAGCCCAGGAGACTGCTGAACATCCAGACGTGGGCTGACAGGTCCTTTAGGTGAACGCTTCCCACTCACAGCTCTGCCCACTAAAGAGTCAATTTTAATGTAAGAAGGAATATTTTCCAAAATATGTCCAAGGGAGCAGTTTGTTTTGCAAACTAATATGCATGGAAAGGGCTGGGATAGGCTCTGTGGAGTAAGTAGGGAATCACGTGAATAAAATCTTCTGGAAATACCTGCCTTCCTTGGTATCGCTCTCTGCTCCTCCCTCCTCCTTCACAACACAGAGACTGTGGTATTCTTAAAGTGAGATAATATTAAACCACCTCTTACTTCAGAAACAGTTATGCTACAACAAGAGTGTAGAACTTGGGATGCAACTGTGCTCTCATATGGCAAAGTATCACGCCTGCCATACGTGTTGGGGATTTGTGGACGAAACACAAGGCCTGTGGATCTGTTTGAGATGGATACCAGTGAGTTGCTCAGGAATTTCAGGTAAATATAAATTGGGAAAAAACAACTGCAAGTCTGTTAGATTTAATTCTTCTAAGTAAATCCTTGTTAATCTTAGTACTTTTTTGCTATTGTTTTCCTAGGACCTGTCATAGTGCTCCATCAGATTTTTAATGGTAAGATTTGACTTTTTGGGGTTTAATTATGGTAAATGATGAACTCGCATTACTACAGTGGGAGGAGGGCGTTCAGCGAAGGACTAGATGTTCAGTGGATGCCCATTTTCTCCCTGCATCAAGTCTGCGTCAATAGATTTTAGCCCCTACGTGACTTTGCAGTGGTTCCAGTACTCATGTGTTGATCATTCATACACTTCTACAGACACACCTTGACCCTGACATACAGCTTCCCCCCTATGTCCTATAGCCAACTTGGCTCCATGGTTTATGGGACCTTGTGTAATGCCAGAAGCTGAGACATCCCCTCTCAGTTACTGAACTAGTCCATCCTTTAGCAACAAATGTTGGTTGTCTCATTCTGAGAGTCTAAGAATTAAATTTCTAAGACTGAATTTGTTTAAGGTTAACTTGTTGGTTAGAAGTTAGTTAAAGCCTAAGATTTTTATCTTGTGTTCCCTTTCTAGTGAATGGAGAGAAATAGCTGTCTTGAGAAGATGATTCATCTCACCTTAAAATGGTTTTAAGATGAAACAGGTAAATTACCTTGTGAAGGTGCCTATTTCTCTCTGGTAACTCTACAGGAAGCCAATGGGAACAAGCTGAGATGTTTGAACATCTACAGTTAGATAAAACGCAAGGCTATCAGTGAAAAATATGAATTTCACAAGTGCTTGCAAAACCCAGTAAAGATAACACAACACTAGTTTCACTGCAGTTGTTATGCTAAGACTTATTAATAGATATATTGGTATGATAGGTAAAAAATTTACGGCTAGTGGCTCTCCTGAGGTCCTGCCCTGTGGTGTAACACTCGGTGATGTTTCAAGCCTGTCCTAGAGCCCCTCTAAGGCAAAGGCTGATGGGCCACAGCAACCAGGGCAGGGTTTCAGCAGAGACGCCATGAACTCGCTGGGCAGTGAAGCTGCAATCTTTTCACCTTTCAGAGCAAGCAGTGGTCCAGTAGCAGATGGGACAGGATAGCTGCCCTGAGGACTTCACACTCCAGATTTCCAAGCCTAAATACAGGCAATTGGATTATAATTCTCACTGAAATCAATCTGTGCCTTTGGTGGCCTCACAGATATTTTTCCTTCAATTCTGCAGCTGTTAGAAAAACCAAATGGGCTCCTGAAACGTAAAACCTCACACCTATTTGAAAAACATCTACAAATGAGAAAACCAGGCCTCTATGCCAGCAGCATACTTCCCAGTAATGATGTATAGCATTCAGCTGAAGAAACAGATGCTCATTTTATATGAGACCTCATGATAGTTTTCACAAATGTACTTTCACCAAATCCATGCATTCACGGAGGACGGTGATTGCCACAGCTGTCCAGCTCCAGGCCTTGGTGAGCAACACGAGAAGCTCCCTGGATCTCCCACCCTCTCCTGGTGCTTTGCTGAGGACAGCCGTCATCGCAAGATGCGTGGCTGGCTCAGCAGCACAGGTTTAAACCAGCTGAATTCTCTCAATGGTTTTCATGATTTAAACTATCAGTTCATCTGAAATTCTTCAGAGAACTGTATCTGTGCTCAGGAAGGATGTGCTGAACCCTGAGGCAGATGCTCGCTGCATGTCTTCCATTTCATAACATGATAGCACGCCCATAGGTCTTTATTTTTTTTTAACTCCCGGGTGGTCTTTACATCCAACAAAGCATTTTGTACAGGTGATTGGTTTGTTGAATTAGAGGTGTCTGGCCTTTTGAACAGACATTTGATTTTGCAATCACCTGCAGGTTGAGGACATCTCCTCTGTGTGCTTGTTCCTGTGCAAGGGTGGGAGAGCTATATCCAGCTCCCTCAGAAATGGCATTGGGTCATGGAGGCTATCGCCCCCCCCAGGCTGCTCAGGTAATGTACTGATTTGAAGGAAAGTGTGGGTCTGTTCCCTGAAAAGATGAAGAAAAAACATTAGATAGAACAGTACCAAGAAAACTCCTAGAACTCTTCGCTGGGTAAAAAAAGTGACTGGTTGGCCAGGCCCAGAGAGTTGATTCTATGATTCTATG